CCAACCATGTATCGCAAAAATGACGAAATATAATTCAGATCACTCTGATCCTTGTAATTGAAGTGTAACGTTTTTTTGTGGAAGCATGCAATTTGATACCCTGTGTTCTGATCCTTCAAGGCTCGTAGCTGTTCGGGGCCCCTTCATCAGATCGTGTAACCACAAACTCATCAGTTTTTAATCGTTTAATAAAGAAAATATAAGCTTTACAAATGAGTTTAGGTGAGAAAACTAGTGAGTCTTTCCAGGCGAATGTCAAAAACAACAACCTAGGCCGTACGCTCCCCCCGTGACGAACAGGCATGACCAATGAGAGCACGATAAACTATGAAGGCGCGGGAAACCCGCATGCGGACCAGAACACTCCTCGCCTGGTAAATATTACCACTATAACATAAATAAGAGTAATATAAACGTGTTCGTTAGATAGTTAATGTTCCTTGTTTAGTTCGTCCACAGAAATGATAGGCACGACATCAGTGACGGGTCGGTGATAACAACGTTTTGACCCTTCTCTTGCTGTCGTCACTTCAAGGTGGTTTATGATCGTCTCTTTCCTCCTCGCCATGATCAATTCCAGGCTTAGGAGGTTTTGGAGGGTGATCTACGTGCAATGCTTCTAAGTGTCTGTCGCTACCGCATTCCAAGCATTTCACAGGGAATTTGCAGTCCTTGGCCATGTGAGAGACTGAGGCGAGGCACCGAAAACAAAGGCGGTGTTTTCTTACGAGACTTTTCCGTTCTTCTATCGACTTTGCGCGGAAGGCGCGACACGACGTGAGTGGGTGGGTGAGGCATATCATGCAAAACACAGTTGTTGGGATTGTACTGGGTGACGTCGCGAAAGTCGTCGTCGTGATCGCTCTTCTTCATATCAGTTTTGTTAGTTTGCCTAGGTTTGCTGCATAGGGGGTCATCGTTTGTAGGATGCTCAATAACGAGGTTGGGATCGTATCTCTCCAAGGAAACGTCTTGCACAAACTTGGAGAACTCGGAGAATGGTGGGTAGTCGGTGTGTTTTTCTCTTTTGTACCTGAGAGCATGTCTTTGCCACCTGCTCTGGAAATCGTTGGGAAGCTTCTCTATGATAGGTCTTAGGAAAATTGGTTCATCGAGGATTCTGAGTCCTTTCTGTTGACCGTCGTCTTTAGCACACTGTAGACTGAGTAGAAGGCCCCAAGCTACTGGAGTTCTTTATTGTCCCTGTAGCTAACTTTCGGAAAGCCTATTATCTTGTCAAGATAAGCTTTCGTCAGCACCACGTCCGACCCAAAACTCTCCCCCAGTTTGTTCCAAACTTCTACCACCCCTTTGGCTGGGTTTTGAATGTAGGCGTTACGTAGCTTCTGGACAAACTTTTTTGACTCTTTGCTTGTATATTCGGTTAAGAGCGAGAGCTCTTCTTGGGGGGTGATGCTTATATCCTTCAACATGGTCTTGAAGGACGTTTTCCAGGTATGGAAATTCTGCGGGTCGTCATCAAATTTCTCAACCCTTTTTGTTAGGATTTCTCTTCGTACCATAAATTCTAGGCAAGATCTCATAATGTTCTGGTCAGAATTAGTTGCGGTCGGGCAGTTCTTGGGTGCGAAGGGTTGTACCATCGGGTTGAGATGATGGGATGGTGTTTGTTGTGTGTTCCCTGTATCGCGACTGGTGGGTTCTGGGTCATTGGTTTGTGGATGAAGGTACTGATTGTCAATAAACTGCTGTACTCGCGTTTGGGGGTTCTCTATGGGCAGATCTATGGGGTTTTGCTCGTGGCTAATATCGAAACCGAGTTCATCATCTATGGCCTCTGCTCTTGCGACCGCAATCGCTGCATCGCCTTCTAGGCGTAATGCTTCCAAGCGGGTTTGCTCGTCTAGTTTACGCTTTGCTAGGACAAATTCTTCACGTTGGATGGCAAGGGCCGATTGCGTTTTTGCGAGAGAGCGTTTTTTATAAATTTCGGCCTTTTTATTGCTGCAGCTGCTTCTGCGCGAGCTTTTGCCCGCAGAGCTGTGGACGATATTGAGGACGCGCGGGACCCAGACCGCATGGATTTTATTTCGAACATGACTTCCTGCTTACGCTGATTCCCCTGTTCAATGTTTTCCGAGACAAATTTTTTATTAACCTGTGTTAACGTGTCCAACTTATGCAGCTCTTCCATGCATTCTCGTGTCCCCACATAAGTAAGAAAACTTGCAAAGATGTGATGTAAATTATCGTAGGCATTATACTCAGCACGCACAGGTACCTGTGCGATTGCTTTAACAATTTTGTCGATCGAGCTAGGAGCATTTTGGAGTGCTGTAATGGCTCTTTGAACTTTTGTCCATGCTTTGTAAAGTTTAGTATGTTCAATCTGACTAGTATTTTCAATTGATTTCCCAGAAGGTTTTGCGTTTCGTCGTGGTTTGTCGCTGGTCGAGGCTGTTTCGATTCCGTTGACATCCCCCCCGGTATTTACGTCGGCTTCGATTAATATAGTATTCTCGCTATATGGTATATTCTGTCCGTTTTCGTTGATTTCTGTCGCGTTATCGAGCGGGTTTTCGCTTACGTATTCTGCCCCAAAATTTACATTCGTCACCGTAAGGTCTTCGTCTGCTGTACTTGGCTCCATGCCGCAGAACTTCCCCAAGATTTGACCAGATTAGATGACGATAGAAACTCGTAGAATATCGCGATGATTTCGCCGTATTTAAGGTTAGTTTTCTCACTGTTCTGATCCTTCAAGGCTCGTAGCCGTTCGGGGCCCCTTCATCAGATCGTGTAACCACAAACTCATCAGTTTTCAATCGTTCAATAAAGAAAATATAAGCTTTACAAATGAGTTTAGGTGAGTAAACTAGTGAGTCTTTCCAGGCGAATGTGAAAAACAACAACCTAGGCCGTACGCTCCCCCCGTGACGAACAGGCATGACCAATGAGAGCACGATAAACTGTGAAGGCGCTGGAAACCCGCATGCGGGCCAGAACACCCTGCCCTCCCCCCTTAGCCAATCTATTTTTGTGAAGTCATGTGACCAGCCCCAACCAGGGTCTTTCCCATAGGTAAGACCCTGGGGTACGAGGTTGGACATTACCTTGTTGTTGCTACAAAAAAGTACAGTCAACATTCCCGAGAACTGACCAGCGAGCTTAGACGGGGTTTGAAGAAAACAAACAGCTAGGGTGATTCATCCTCGTTTATATCAGTCTTGTTTGCAGTTTCGCCCAACTCGTTTAAAATCTATTTTCAATAATATAAGAACAACACATGCCGTGTGAGTTTATATATTATTTGGATCTGGATATTCATATTTGACTAAACCTTACGCCGGTCTCTTGTTGTTAGCTGCGCAGCGAGTCCTTTCGTACATAGTAGGCACAGAACCTGGTTTGAGTCGTCGTTGCTAACCATCCAAATTAAATAAACGCTCAAAACAATCCGTTGAAAAATGGTCCGAACAAATCATGAATTGGATTTCCCGCGAGCTTGGATAAAAGTTAGCGTGCTTAGTTTGCACAAATCTAATCGATATTCTTCTCAAAGATTCGTCATTTGGGCTCTTATGCAATGATATGCCCGCGTTTTTGTCAGAAGTATTGCTGCCATCTTGTACAACACAACGCGATGAAGGCATGATCGAGTTTTACGAACTTTTAACTATAGCTGTGCATAGTCGTGTATATATTTTTATGTTGCACGCCCAGCATGTGTTCAGACTATGACGTCACAGACTCCCGAATACTTGAACTTTCCAATATGGCGGATTTTAATAGCGGCCCCAAAATTCGAACTTGATCATCGTATAACTCACGTCAAATATGAGATATCACGCTAAAATTTTGCGAGACAGCTTCTTTATAGGCGCTCTTAACAATCATGGGAAAAACAGAAATGAAAATTTGGTCGCATGCAGGTTTAATTAAGGTCCATTTTTTGTTGTTTCGTATAAAAGTTCATGACTTATCCGTCATACAGTATTTCTTTCAGCATTCCCAATGGTATATGATTTTTGGTACATTTTAGTTTGGAACGCGTTCTATAGTTTTCACTCCTTAAGTGGGGTCATTCATTACGGCCGCGCAGGTCACAAAACGTGACGTACTGTATACTGCCAGGGTAAATCAAATATCAAAATAAACACTTGTATGTATGGTCACGTTGTAGTTTACCTCGTGATTTTACTAATGTTTTTACGTGACTGACCGCACGACAGGTTGTAAAATGAAATATACTACAATATATGTACGTCAGCTGTTGAAATGATCTTTTTTAAAAGATAAAAATAACAGCAAGTCTTTGTCAACTATAAGGACGCGTCTACACATACCAGATTCGATCTTTCCAAAACAAGGAATTTGGGTACAGCATGCGGGGAACGGAAAATGGAAATACCGGAATACTAAATACCGAAATTTCTAAAACACAGAATACTAAAAGCCATAATCTCCAAAATCTGTAATACTAAAAGCCGAAATCTCTAAAACACGAAATACTAAAAACCGAAATTACATTATTATTCAGTTCACTAGCTCCCATTAAAGCTTTTCAGTGGCCGATTACATCAAATATTATTCTTACTTATCACACTAACTTAGCCTAGACTATTTATCTTTACAACACGGAATACTATAAAATCCTCTAAAACACGGAATACTAAATGCAATAATCTCTTAACCTAGAATAAGTCAGTATATCCTAAATCCGTATATACTTCAAAACGTGGAATCCTTAAAACCCGGAATACTAACACTATAATTTCAGTGTGGTTGTCCTTTGTGAAAAAATACCAATACAATAAGCTGTGTTTAAAGAGGATTTTTTGAAATATTGCAATTGTATGACATTAATAATACATTCTTTCCCAGGACCCCCACTAAATTAAGTAGTTAAGTTTTCCAAATGAAATATCCTTGACAAGTGAAGGCATCGAAATTCGGGATTAGTTAAAAATATAGACTAAATATTGTTTCATCTGCTAACATTGTAAATAACTAAAGGTTTTTGTCATCTATAAATATCGGTTTTGTGAAACTTATTTTTAACTTATATTTACAAGCAAGTGCGACATTAATGCATGCGTGACTTTCAATATCAGCTGCGCGCCTGTGAGCTAAAGATCGCTAAACGTCTCAATGTTCAGAAAATTACAAAGCCCGTGCATATTACAAAAATTTAGTTACTAATCACATCGTTTCTCCGTTTATATTTCCAACAGTTACAAAGGATATACATACGCATGCAGCTGATCATAATTATGATGTTAATAAACGGAGCATATATTTATAATTATCCATTAAGTGAAAAATAAATCCGCTATCTGAAAAGTTTGGGCATATTATATGAGAAAGACTACATGAAAGAAAGAAAGAAAGAAAGAAAGACTTATATTTTCCTTTGAAAAAACACACAATTTCATGAATTTTCGGTAATATAATATCTGACTTTCTCATTAAAAGGCCAGTATTATTTTCAGTACTCGTAGCCTATTATATGTCAAAGTTCAATAACAAAACAAGAAATTAATCTTGTTTCGTGGGTCAAGGATAATCTCAACATTTCAAGAGAAAACTACTACATTGTTAAAATATACAAACTAGCGCATACTTTTCCCATTGCACTTGTAAAACATTCATTATTTGTATATTATATTAGTTGTGGAAAAATAGTATAAAACAGTTATATTATGGTAGTAAAGAATATAATAGGTAACCTACAGGTAACCTACAAAAGTATAAATTTAGTTCTCTTTCGAAATAGCTTCACTAAATACAAAACCGTCCCATAATGTAGGAAAGCGATATTCTAAATGAAGTTCCAACTTGAAAAGAGGGTTTCAGCCTTTTGGTGAATATGAACAATAAAATTATTTCGCTCTAACTAATGTATTTTTCAAATTTCAATTACCTGCGTTTATAAAACATTTAAAGGGGTTTTAATGCTGAGTTTAGTTACTGCTGATTCGATTCTGCCAAGCTTGCTGATATTAAGGTAGCTGCTATGAGATTTTAAAGAGATAATATTACATATATACCTATATCGCCGACGGTTAGAGACTGAGAAATTAGCTATATTAATGTTTTGAGTAGATGCAGAATGGTAACAATGATTCACTGTGGTGTGTAGTCTTGACTAGAATATTATTAATTAAATACATTCAGAAAGTCTGAGCAAGCCACGCAGATGTGTTTTGTCAACATAATACCTGTGTCAAAACAATCAAATACTTTCAGATACATTCCCGCTGCTACATTCACAATGATAGAATATTTGATAAATTAAAATTTGGGCGTTTGATGGTTTCATCAAGTTTTTAGCCGCATTGTATTATAATGGTCATCACATGACAAGAGATGAAAATATCAAATCATCATCAAACTGATTCAGTAGTTACTTATTTCTGAATTACATGTATATCTCATTCAATTCTGGTTTCATTCGCTTTGACTTGATACAACTACTGTAATCTACATACTTTCAGTACAACTGAATCAAAGGCTACAGGAATAATGAGAAATATCTGCTGGAATCTTATCAGGTACAGGAATTGTTGTGTAAGCACATTTTGCAGACGTTGTCCGCCTATTATTCACGATGGTTAACTTTTAAACATTTACCAACGCCGAAACGATATTAAATCATATTCAAATGCACACAGGATCGAACTTTAATTCCTAAATAAAAACAGGTCATGTTAACTAATAGTGCTGTGAAATTAATGCGAGAACCTCAACAATACAGACAATACAATATGTTCCTAACGAAATGCCCTACAACAGAAAGGACAATATGTCCGATATCGCCTACCTTAGTACCTTCGAACAGCTTTGTTCCTTGATAACTATACCAACTCCACCGCAATTTGGTCCTTCACTATTTAATTAAGTCAAAGTATGAAGATGAACTCTTCTATTGCTGCAATAAGTTTTAGGTTTTATCCCGTGATTATACGAATGTCTTGCATGACTGGCTGCATGATTGTTTCTGTATTGAAACCTTATACGTGCATGTACGTCATCTGTTGAAGCAATCTTTCAACGAGTTTGAGTTTTGGTCGTGTGTAAAAACTCGTGGGTCGTGGCTAAATAGTCGTGGGTGGTGCGTAATAGTCGTGGGTCGAGAAATGCTCTAAATTTCCATTTTTTCGCTCAGTCACTGCTTTTGCTAAATAATTTCTGTTTTAGC